TTAAGATAGGCGTAAAGAAGCACAGAGCAGAATGTAGTAAAACTAGACTTAAAGTTAACACTTGATTGGCCTAATTTGATACAGAATGTAGTAATTGTTGTAACAGTAACGAATAAAGATAATAAATTTAGTAATATACAAATATATAAAAACAGAAAGAGGATTTGGACTCTTTAATAGTAAAAAGGAATAAAACAATAAGATTGAGCAAGAACGTGGATTGACATGTGAAAGGTGTAATAATTGGTGGTGTTGGAGTGGTTTAGTAACATGTGAAAGTTGTAGTAAGTGATGAATGTGAATTGGATTGTTAACATGTGTAAATATAAGTGATGGTAATGAAGTGGTTTGGTAACATGTGCAAATATAATGTCATGTGATGGAGCATGTGATAGTATATGTAGTACACGTTGTAAAAATTCGGGGATGTCGATCGTACGAGTTCATTAATTGTTCCAATTCTAGCTGTAGCTGTGCAAATCTTAATTAATTAGTAAGTCGTGCTGGTGTACCTATTATTATGTGTGTTAAAGTGCATGGTCTAGTCTCGTTGGTCTACTATAAATGATACAGGACTAGCTGTAATAGTAGTTGATCAGTGTGTAAGTAAGCTGTAATGCTGTAATAAGTGAAATGAATGTGTACATATATAATATTGTATTATAATATATATATCACGCTGGTCCGGGCCTGGATATAATAGTTATCACATAGTCGTAAATATTGCAGCTTCGATTAAGTGACAGCTTATAAAGTTACAAGTTTCAAGTTACAATTTAAGTCAAGTCTCGATCTTGTTTAAACTTTAAACAATTAACTGTAATGTAGACAGTAGAAAGACGTCGGATGTGCGTTTAACGCCTTAGAAGTTAGATATCGAGATTTGAAATCAACTTCACCATTAACAGTCGAATTTTCTTCAAAAGAGTCTTTAGAGGATGCTGGATCCTTATCTGGTGCTTTTGGCTTTTCTTCCATAGTAAAAAAAGGGTAATCCAAGTAAGATGTGTTCTAATTTCTTTTTCAGTAATATATTTATCATAACAAATTCCACGTTTAGGGTTCGAATATGAGGGGGGGGGGTAAATAATCGGGTTCAATATTCTCGCATATACCTGATAAATACCTGTGGTTATGGTGATGATAAGTACATGTGGTTATAATGTTATAATGATAATGATGGTAACCACACGTGGTTATGATTTAATGCTTATGATAATGCCATTTTCTGGTAACTACATGTAGTAATGAAAATTATGTGGTTATGGGGATGTAACTTATACGTATATTTACACATAAAGAGCTAGTATACTAGTTTATGAATCACATTAATGATGATCGTCATGATCCGTTTGCAATATTGATTCCTGGTAACATGGTGGTGGAGAATTAGCTAGTTGATAAGTTAATTTACCAGGAATAAAATAGATCTGTCCTGTTGAAATTTTATATTCTTCACCATTAATTGTTTCATTGGACATCAAAAGAATTCTTTCATTAAACAATTTTGAGAATTTTGAATTCACACCATCCGTATTCTGATTTGATAAATGATCTTTAGATATAATTAGAGCTGTATGAGTTTCACTTTCAAAGAAGTTTAAAAATCCATCAAGTTCTTTAATTACACCACCAAATGATAATATATTAATTAAATTTTCCAACATTGGTACAAATGGTAGACTATTTGGTTTATATGCTAAGCATAATTTTAATTCTTGAAAGTCTTGCATAAATTCTTCATGGGAAAGTATAGGCTCATTAGTGGATCTGAATTCGTAATACTTGTGACCTGAAGTTTCATCATTAACATTACCAGTAACTTCTCGTATAGTTTGAGCTCTATTTGAAGTTTCCAAGTTATCTTTTTTAACACAATAATCAAGTAAAATCTTTGTCAACGAATCAATTAGATACTGTCTTAAGTCTGAATCTGATTTTATTGAATCGTTTACAGCTGGTCTAAAATAAAAGAATGAATTTGAAAAATGATTTATAAGACTGCTTAGATACAAAGGACTTGATGTTTCTTTAGAAAATATGAAAGAAAATACTTTAATGGGCATTCTATGATTTTCTGAAGACGATTTCAGTTCGAAATTTGACGCTATTGACCATGGGTTTTCAGGATTTGATCTTAAAGTTGAGGGTTTTGGTTTGATACTCATCATTTGTATACATAATTTGGTTTCTATATCTGATAATATATCTGAACAAGCTATCATTGGCATCTTAACATTAGGCTGTCCTAATGATGGTATTAATGGAATCAGTCTATAATTCATTTGATTAGAGTACTTGTCAATCAAGCATCTATCAGCTTCAGTCATATAGTCCCGATTGATCATATTATCATCTTGATTTTTGTGTTCTTCAGTTTGAGCCATGATAGTGATGCACTGTAGTATATCAAAATTATAGATCTTTTAATGATTTACATTAAATCTATGAATCAAAAATGTGAGAGACTACATTAATATTATATATTGTTCCCATAATCTTCTCATATTTAATTAACTCTTCTCAACTAGTAGTGTGCAATATTTAAATAAATCAACTCATGCTGTTTATATATTACCAATGAATATTGAGTACTTATTGAATTGAGAATAAATCTAATCAATATCCACTATTGAGAAAATAACATTCTAGAAACCTCAATATTGTTAAATTATGGTGATAATATACTCAGAGTTTTTCGAATAAGTTTATAAAGCTTGAGGGTAAGTTTTTTAGCTATTATAGAATGAGACTTTAAGTGAGAATATTATTGTATATAATAAATAAGTGTTGGGTAGTGATCCTGTGAGTACTTGTTGCTGTCTGAACTATCTTTGGAAGGTTATTGACGAGCTTCAAGCATATATAAATAGCTGCCAATTATAAGGCATCCCGCAATTCAATTATATACTGAGTTGTACCATTATATCCATGGTTCGCTGATCAACTGATAGAAGACGTCAAGCTTCTACTCAATCATCCATATAAGTGCTCAAACATCTGCTGTTGAAACTTGAAAGGTTAGTTAATCGAAGTACTAATATTCGACTCGTAATTTCTAAAAGTTCTTATTCACATACAGACGTACAGCTTTAGAGCAAGATTCAAGTCACTTTGTATAATTTAAATTATGTAGTATCTTCCAAGTTCCCATGATTTTGGCTTGATAGTTGGACTCGAAAATTAACTAGGGGAGAAAAAAAATGAGTTCGGCACGTGATATGTTTAAACCGAGATTTGATATATTGATGTTATAACTGGACTTTATGTTTATAACTTGAACAACAATTGAAATGATAGGTAATAGCACGTTTGTGGCGTCTGACTATTATCCTGAAACCTAAGTCTTTACTCTTAAGTGTAATACTCTCAATCAGTATCCTTGTAAAACAATAATGTATCAGTTGAAATGTGTAATAAGTATATGTAATTATACAAGTATATTGTAAACAACATTAAGAATAATAATTCTGTTTTTCATTGGAATTGGACGACTTTGGTGTGCACCACACAAAAAGATCCGCGAATTTTAAAAATTTACTATGAAAATAATTTTGGGTCCAATGATATTATATTATGATATCTGATCACTATATTTATATTATTAATCACCTATAGATCAATTGATTCTTATAATACTTTCCTTCTGAGATTATTCATCATATATATGCTGGTGGTGGGATGTTATGCAATTCGTAAGTTGATTTGCCAGGAATGAAATCAATTCGTGGTGTACTTAAAACTCTATCCTCAAGACCATTGGATGTATAATCAGACATTTTGAGAATTTTATCATTAAAAAGCTTTGAAGCTTCTGGAAACAATACATCTATATTATGATTTGAAAAAAAAGTTTTAGTTATAGTTAAAGCTGTATGAGTTTCACTTTCAAAAAAATTAATAAAGCCATCAATCTCTTTAAACTCACCACCAAATGTTAATATATTAATTAAATTTTCCAACATGGGCACTAATGGTTTACTATTTGGTTTATATGCAAGACATAATTTCAAATTTTCATAATCTTTCTTGAATCTTTTGTGAGAAAGTATAGGCTCCATATTTGATCTGAATTTATAATATTTATAATCTGAAGTTGCATCACTAACATTAAGTGGTATATTTTGAGCTGTATTTGAAATTTCCAATTCTTCTTTCTTCACACAATAATCTAATAAAATCTTTGTTAATGAATCAATTAAATATTGTCTTAGGTCTGAATCTGTTTTGATTGAATTATTTATGGCTGGTCTGAAATAATAAAATGAATTCATCAAATGATCATCAATATTGTTTAAATTTAAAGTATTTGATTTTTCTCTAGTAAACATAAAGGAGAACAACTTAATGGGCATTCGATGCTTTTCCGAGCTTGATTTCAATTTGAATGTTGATGTAATTGACCATGGATTTTCAGGATATGCTTTTAAAGTTGATGGTTTTGGTTTGATTCTCATTATTGGCACACACCATTCCATTTCTATCTTTGACACTATGTTTGGACAAGTTATCAATGGTACTTTAACATTTGGCTGTCCTAATACTGGTATTAATGGGATAAGTCTATAGTTCATTTGGTTGCGATACTTGTCAATCAAGAGTTTATCATCCTCTGTAAAGTTGTTATTGATCTTATTTTTATTAGTTTTGATCTCATCATTCATCTTTGATGACGACGGATGTGAATTCTGCTCTTCCATTCTGGTATTGATAATTAACGGTGGATCACGTATATATTATATAATTGATGCTATTATACTATAGATGCAAATGATATATATTATTTTCCACACTATAAGACAATTTTTTGGAATATTTATGAACGACGTACTAATTCTGTAATTATATTTTCGTTTAACCTATGAGCAACTATTTGCCAAACTATATTTATTTTATATACAAATATTTATAATTGTTTTAGTTCAAAAATTTCTCTTTGAATTAAAGCACCTCTCATCTAAAGCCTCACATACGAATATATCAACTCAAAAGTTTTTTTTTTAAAAATATACTTCTCATCTAATACCTCATATAAATATATCAACTCAAAAGTTTTGTAATACACAACATATGTTCATGTGTAGCTACAGTAGCTCTCTAGTACAAAGCTTGTGAGTTTAAGGTGTGAATATTTATAGCTTTATTCAAGTAGTCTATTTGAAGAGGATGTGACAAATATACAGGAAGTTTCGGCCATGGGTCAATAGATCAGGAGTATTGAGTATATGAGCTGTTAACTGAATTCAGACCTACAGTTCGTATAATTAGACAATATGCATTTTGATCGGATCAACAAAATTTCTCTAATATTCAATTCTATATTCATGTGTCCCTAGTTAGATCATATTTTCTTAATATTTCTTTTCTGATGATTGATTATGGTTATTCCTCTAATTATCGTATACTTGTTAACTTGAACAATTAATCCCTGACAAGTTGACTCTTCTTGCATAAGTATCCACAATTATTTATGTGTGATAATCTGATCGTGTATTATATGTGATTTCGCATCTACGGGAACATCAGCTTATAATCAATTAAAATCAACATATAACTATAGTTCATACATGCATATTCATGAACATTATTCCTGATAAGATGGTGGTGAAAGATTACCTAGGTCATAAGTCGATCTACCAGGAATGAAATTGATTAGCTCCCCAGCTGCTGAAAATAAATGTTCTTCACCATTAATTTTTATAATATAATTAGAAATATCAACAATACCTTTATTGAAAATCTTTGAATATTTTGAGTTTACATCGCTTATATCATTATTATGTTTTGTAATCTGGTACCTAGTTATAATTGAAGCTGTATGACTTTCACTTTCAAAAAAATTTAAAAATCCATCAATCTCTTTAAGATCACCTCCAAATGTCAATATATTAATTAAGTTTTCCAGCATTGGTACTAATGGTTCACGATTTGGTTTATATACCAGACAAAATTTCAAATCTTTATAATCTTTCAAAAAGCTTTTATGAGAAAGTATGGGTGTGTTATTCGCTTTGAATCCATAATATTTGTAATCTGAAGTTCCATCACTATAATTAACTGGTATATTTTGAGCTACATTTGAAATTTCCAATTTTTTCTTCTTTGCACAATAATCAAGTAGGATCTTTGTTAATGAATCAATTAAAAATTGTCTTAGATCTGAATCTGAATTTATTGAATTGATTATAGCTGGTCTGAAATAATAAAATGAATTTAAAAAGTGATCATCAGAACTGGTCAATTTCAAAGGATTTGATCTTTCCTTAGTAAACATGAAAGAAAACAACTTTATCGGCATTCTGTGCTTTTCTGAAGTTGATTTTAATTTGAAATTTGATGTACTTATTGACCATGGATTCTCAGGATATGCTTTCAAAGTTGATGGTTTGGGTTCGATACTTAACATTGGCCAACACGATTTCTTC